TCTCCCCCTGCTTCCCCTCACTCCATGAAGAAGTTCCCAAACTGGAATAGGCTATATTTAGTTGAATATGTCGTCTCCTATGTAAACCCTATCACTACCAATGTACTGAGGGGAATATACTATCACTTGAAAAACAAAGGTAGTACTGTACTGAGCAATGTAAAATAAAATATGTGTTATTTGTTTATGTACATTTATTATTATAATAATAAAAATAATTTTTTTAAAAAAGGAAAGAGGACACTTGCTAATTACTGTGGGATCTTCCGCACCTGATGAGAAGCTCAGAAGTTTGTAGTCTGCTGGCAGTCTTTCTGCATGTAGCTCTGAAGTGGTAGTGAGAAGTAACATCTAACCAGCTCAGTGAATACCAAGTGAGCCGGCCGTGGCCGGGACGGCAGGGTATAAATATAATAAATAAATAAGTTTTTGGTGCACTTTATAATAGGATGCATGGTATCTGTTTTATACCTATTGGTAATGTGTCTCTTACCCTTGCTGTAATGAAAGTGGTGATATAGAAGACATGTACACTGACTTGTGAGCAAACAAGCATAACTTTTCTGCAGTATTATTTTGACAAAGGAGTGCTTTCCCAAACAAAAATCTGTGATGTGCAAAAATGAGCGTTTCTTGCTTAGGGATCAGAGCCATTGGCAGGGGCCAGAAGAAGCTATTTGTTGCCTTAGGTGAAGATTAATGATGCAACTCTGTGTATCATATCAGTATCGCTTACAGCATCTACCTCAAGCCAGCAACTGATATTTATCACCAGAGATTTCTGGAACGTGGGAGTTCATGATGGTATGAGCAGAGTTTGACTTTCATCCAGCTGTGTTCTAGTGGAGACAGTATTTCCTTTACCTATAGAAAAACCATTATCTTTTCAGGGTGGAATTTTTTATAGGGGGCGTTTGTTTATATGGGGTAGTCAGTATGTAACACAAATATTATATATTACATTGCATATTCTATGTTTCATTGTTTTGTGAGAGTCTCTAGACCACATGGAAGCAGGCTTATCAGGTTTTTCTCTCTGCTATGAGGAATTAATGTCTGTGGTTTAACTTAAAACAAGTGTGATCTAGTTTCCTTTTATAAAAGTTAGAGTATATGTCTTTTTAATCAAACATGATGAACAAGCAACTATGGCTGTGTGTTGTTATAGTCTGGAAGGAGAGTTTTAAAAATGATCCTTCAGTTGATTTGAAAAACAGTCTATAGACGTGGTTCTTGGTTACCATTTATTATGGAAGATGGTTTTGGCAGATCAACAAGTGTATATTATATTACAATATAATACGATAAATGTATTAATAGCTTGAATAGCCCTGACTACCACAATATCACAAGAGCTTGGAAACTAAGCTGGATTGGCCATGGTTAGTACTCGGATGGGTCTGGGGTTGCTGGGCAGAAGAAAGCAGTGGCAAACATGCCTATCTCTTGCCTTGAAAACCTTGTGGTCCTGGGTTTGCCATCAGTCAGTTGCAACTTGACGGCATCCAATTATTACTATTTATAAATAAGTTTGTAATTGTTGAACATACTACTACATATGGAAAAAAATAACCAAAAAGAAGCAGAACCAGGCACATTTTCAGAATGTGAATTTCTCACTGTAATTAGCCCTGCTTAGAAGGCTTTGGGCTGAACTAGCAGGGAGTTCTTTAAGACTAAAAGATGGCAAGACAGCAGTTTACTATTTAAACTGCAGGCGAGACAAACAAATACTGATTTTTGTGAATACTAGAATTTGTTTTCTTAAAGTAAGTCAATAGTTAGCTTAAGGACACTTCTGTACAATTGGAATTTAACCCGAGTCTTACGAGAGGTTGTTGTCTTGAACTGGCAGATATTCTCCCGTTACACACAATTTTTTCTCCATTGCATTATCTCACATGGCTGCAATATAAAACACAATCAGCACTCTACCAGAAGGGTGCCAAGGAGTGTGATATCAGGCCTGCACACTTGGTGGTTTTGTTCATAGCAGCTGTGTAGTATGTGTGAATAGCATATCAAGAATTCAGAAGTGTTGCCACCAAGGTACCTATTATCTATTGTCCTTCTGTACTGCAGTAAGTCTCAACGCCCCCTCTCCACACCAGTAAATAAACGTTCCTCTATAGAAGCATCTCAAGCACAGGCAGGAAGATATGAATTTATACTGTTCTCTTTTTGGCTAGGTGATAAATGTGAACAAAATTGTAAGGATTTTTGCGATGAAAAGTGTAACATTTTAGCCATAAGTAGAGAGAAGAGAGAAATATTTTAATTGTCAATAGTAAGGTGGAGACATGGAGTTTGTCATTCATTCAACCAGCGTTTTGCACCTTCTAAAACTTCAGTAGTCTTGTGTTCTTCTTTGTTTTTGTTTTTTTATAGTACAGACTCCCACCAAACCAACTGTGGGCTTTTTGCCTTTTCACCAGGTATTCTTCAATTGTAGTGTTAACATGAGGAAAACGAGCTTATGTTAACCCAATCTGCGGAGCAAATATTTCCTGATACGAGGTCGTTTGCATTCAGAACTCATAAGACAAGAGTTGCTTATATAAAAACTTCCTCCTAATAGTTCTGTGCTGCTGCAGTTTGAATGGTAGCATAGGTATTGTCATGAAGGGAAGGAGCAGAAGAGGAAATGGAGGATCCTACATGTGGTAGCTTTATAAGAAAGGAGGAGATAGTTTCTTTCTGAGTCACTTAGAATAGGTATCTAAAGGATATATGGGCCCCTGCCACACGGGCAGGAAACTGCAGAGGAGAAGTGTGGCTGTTTGCCCCGGGGCAAACTAACATGCAGTAAAGCGATCAGACCTACTGTGGAGGTTCTGTGGAGGTACTGTGGAGGTTCCATGGCAAGGGAGGTGTGCCGATCACAACACACGTCTGCGCGCAATGAAGAAGCGCGCGGCGCGGCGAACTGGTTTTCTTTTTTTGTGTACACTACGAATGCGCATGCTCCGTTGGGTGCGTGTGCGCATCCACGGAGACGTGGGGGGGAAAAAACCCTTTTCCGCAAGGGGACATGGGTGGGCGCCGGATATCACCGGAAACGCGATCAGACGCCCGCCCTTGCCCCGCAGTTTCTGGAAACTAGTACCTCCAAGGTACTAGTTTTTTGCTGCGCTTTTTCGGCAGGAAGCCTCAGTTGTGCCACGGAAGCACTACGCTTCCCAGATGTGCTGGTGAGATCGCGACCGGAAACTCCGCTTGTCTTCCGTATCTCTTGCGTGGCTAATGTTGCGTGTGACCGCAGCCATGTAATGGTTATAGTGTTCTTTCTGTTTACGGCGTATAGGTATATGATATACTACATCCCAATACTCCCGTGAGCTGGGATTGGGACTGGTATAGCTCAGTGGCTTGTGGAATAAGGTGGAAATCTAGGCTGAAGGCTTTGCTCAGCAGTGACCAAACTGGGTAGCCAGATGAACCCTAGCTGTTTGCTCCCCCCCCTCCAAGTATCCAAACTTATAAAAATAATACTGTCTTTGAGCTATGTAGTGGTTGTAAGAAATATTTGGGGCAACTTGTGCATTTAGGAAAACATACATACAAGAAAGTATTAATTTTCTGATGCAAGGATTTTCCTTCTTGCAATAGAAAGAAGTTTTAAAGAAGTAAGTCGATGACAGTCCTTTTGCTCTGACATGGATCGTATATCTGAATGATGACATTTGCTGGCTATAGGTTTGTCAGATTCCTCTTGGCAAACAGCAGGGCATTGGGGGGGGGGGCTTACCAAGAGCAGGTTAACATTGCTTTTAGAAATATAGATTGCATTCCCTTTTGTAGAGACTAGAATGTAAGGAGATAGCAAAGTTACAGGAGTTCTACCAAATGTCCATCTGCGTCTTCTCTGCATTCCTTTGGGATGAAGAAATCATAAAGTCAAATTTCATTAGTTTATGAGTGTACAAATACGCACACTTGTCATCCTTTGAGCACTGCAAATCAAATCTCTTACCATGTTTGCTTAGTACACAGAGGTAGATTTAATCAGCATTCTGGAAAGGTTGATTCATGCCCTTGTCTCTGCTAATGGAGGTGACCTACTGACTCTGTTGGAAACCATGTGTGTTAATCTGATATTTAGTTGTTGTAGATTTTCCAGGCTATATGGCCATGGTCCTGGCATTGCAGTACCTGATGTTTTGCCAGCAGCTGTCACTGGCATCCTCAGAGGTATTACACAGAAAGATGGAGTACGCTCTGTGTCAATGTGAAAAGAAAAATGCTAGGCAGGTAATTTATATCTACTCAGGAAGCTGGGGTAGGGCTGAGTCATTAACTTGTAAGACTTTCCCAGGCTGTGAAATGCTAATGAAGGAGCTTTCCTGAGGAGGTTCTTTTGCATATGGATTGGCTTGTGAAATTCTAATCTGTAGTACTGTTGTAAGATGTAGAACATTTTGTGTTTTTCAGGACTGGAAACCATGTCCTATTTATTTTTAAACTCTCTTCCTTCCTGTTAAAATTGTGTTTATATTTATGAACTTCAATGGCTTCCCTGTGTAATCTGACATGGTAATTGGATGTGTTGTCCAGCTTTTCCGGTTGGCCAAGTCTACAGTGTCTTTCATGTTCTTTTATTCTTGCCTGGATGCTACATTGTGTGGTCCCAATGTAAACCTGTCCACAACTGCAGGGTTTGCGGTATACTCCTGCAGAAGTGAGGGGGGTCTCTTCTGTCTTTTGCCAATTGTAGCATCTGTTGTATTTTTCTGGTGGGTCTGAATACTGTTTGTAGGTTGTGTTTTTTCATAAGTTTTCCCATCTGATCAGTGATGCCTTTGATATGTGGCAAAAACACTTTTCCTGTGGGAGACTGTTATTCCTTAGTTGTTTGTTTTACCTTTGGTTTAATCTCTCTTCTGATTTCATTCCTGGAGTAGTTATTTGCTTGAAGTGCATGTTTTATCTACAACAACTAATGAACTCCGGCCGTGAAAGCCTTCGACAACAATTTGATATTTGTTTTTATTCTTTCCTAGGAATTTCAGCCCCAGCTATGATAGAGGATAAAGGCCCAAGAGTGGCTGACTACTTTGTAGTGGCAGGACTCACTGATACATCAACACTTCTGGATCAAGAAGTAAATCGCTTGGAAACAAAGTCGATTGGTCCAAAGGCTCCAATTACAGATCTTGCTATCATTATTAAATCAGCGGGTGAAACAGTCCCTGAAGGTTACACTTGTGTTGAATCAACACCCACAGCACTTCAAGCCAACTTGAACTATGGGAGTCTTAAAAGCCCAGAGCTTTTTCTTTGCTACAAGAGGGGCAGGGAGAAACCACCTCTTACTGATGTTGGGTGAGATGGTTTTTAATTGATTTATAGGCAGTAAGGTCATGGTGAAATAGAAAAGAATCTGTTTGAAAATGCATCAGAGGGAAGAGTTAAGGTATTATTTAAAATGTTTTAATACTAAAACTCCACTATTAAGGAATCTGGTCTAATCCAAATTGTGAGTGCCTGAAGAAAATGCTGGTGGCGATTTTACATGTAATCTTCTCCCTTGTCAAATTGGACCACATTTTGAATGTTCAGGGCCTGTTTCTTAGTGAATCGGAGTAAGTGAAAAAGTTAGAGCAAACTGAAGAGAGCAATGATGTAGGCTAGTTGTGGCTTACATGTAATGAAACTTGTCTTGGGAACCCAAATATTCAGTAATTCTAGGCGTCAACTGAAGGTGGGCACCTTACTGTGGTTGGATTGTGCTCTTACTGGGTGTCAACTGAAGGTGGGAAATACCTTACTGTGGTTGGATTGTGCTCTTACTATTACAAGTGAGCCCTGCATGTATACTCCTGATGCCTCTTTATCTCATCCCACCTCCAACCCACAGCTTTCAGTTCCTGTAATCTACTCAGATGATATGGGTCTGTGTGGCTGTGTTGGTCCAAAGAACTTCCAGAATGCCAGCTTGCACAGCCCTCTCTGAGGTGGTGAAAGGGTGGCACATAGGGGATCTAGACAGGGTTCTGTTCCATGCATATCTGTTAATAAGCATGGGTGTTGCGTAGAACTCATGTGCTAGACCTGATGTTGGCAGATCATGCTAGCATGTTTATATTGGTACACCTGTGCTAGATTTGGGACATCAGTGTACCATGTGTAATGCTACATGCTACAACAGTGGATGTACTTGTGATTGTGTTTAGAACTGGATTATTAGAACAGTAGTTCTGCAGCAAGTTCTAGTGCACACCTGGAAATGGGATGGCTGTGCATACTTGCAGGTCTGAACTTGATTAGCCAAATCTTACTTTGTGTGGTCTAGAGAGTACATTGTTCCCAGGCTATGGTGTTCTTACATAGTTGCACCATCTGTCTGCTAATTAATTTCATTACCACATTTACTGTATACAACTGCAAAGCTATTTTTTAAAAAAATAATTTTGTTTCAGGATCATTTTTTGTTTAAACGAGTTAATAAAAAATTGCTTGCCGCTGCATTACTTAGCATCTTCGGCTTGCTAACAATTCCATGAAGCAGGTGGGATTTTTGTGAAGTTTATGATTAGAAATCTAGGATGATCGATTTTAAGTAAAAGTCCAGTGTAACAGTGCCCTCAGCAAGAAACACTTCAAAGTGTCAAAACTGACTAGTTTCTCCTAAGTTTTTTTGCCAAAACCTGCCCCCATTTAAAATACTTCAGTATATGTACTGCTGCATTCTTGCTATATTATGTATAAATGTAAAAGGACAAACCACAGCAGGTGTAAGCATTGTTAGTATATGTCAGCCAGCACAATGAAACAATAGCGCCATTTGTTAGTAGCTTTGTAAACAAAATTTTTTTAAACAAAAGGGATAAAAGTATCCAGTGTTTGGAATTCCTCATTTTGAGGATCTCTGTCCCTTACATGAAAGAGTGGTTTTTGAGAGGGCTTTATTGTACGGTGCATTGATTAATAGTATAAGATTTTGTGTGTGAAGTGTTTGTGTCCCACTTTTCCCTCTCACCTGCAGAGTTTTATATGAAGGGAAGGAGCGTTTAATGCCAGGCTGTGAAGTGATCCAGGCTACTCCCTATGGTCGCTGCGCTAATGTCAATAACAGTTCAGCCTCTTCCCAACGAATCTTTATCACCTACCGGCGGGCTCCTCCTGTGCGACCCCAAAACTCCTTGGCTGTTACCGACGTCTGTGTTATTGTAACCAGCAAAGGAGAAACTCCTCCTCATACTTTCTGCAAAGTTGATAAGAATTTGAATTGTGGCATGGTGAGGAGAATATGTTAATTTTAAAACATTGGCCTTTCGGGGTTCATTACTGACGTTTAAAAATGTCAAAGATGTGTCTGCTGCACTCTTACCTAGCATGCTTAATTCAAAGTACAGCTTGTGTCACTTTAGTTTCCACAGCTCTGTGTTTCTTCCTTCCTCTGGTTCTTCTGCCAGGATCATATCGAAGAGAGCGCCAGCTAATTCTCACAAAGTGGGGGGGGGGGGGGGGGGGAATCCTCCATCCATTCCTTTCTCTTTGCCCAGGCTTTTAAAATTTTAAATGGACCTTCTTTAAAGCACCAGAGTTCGAGATATCTACAAGAGTTCAGGTACTCATGGTGTAAGAACAAGAAGTTGAAGATTAGGATTCTCTAGCTGGAGTATAGCTCCTGAAGTCGGTCGATAGTACCTCCGCACTCCAATGGCTGCCCATGAGCGCTCCCTTCCTGGTCTCTGCTGTGGAGTGATGAGGGGTCTACTCAGATACCGCTGTATCCAAGAGTCCCCAGATCAAGCCCCCTGCAAGAGCATCCCTCCAGGATGGCTCTTTGGAAGTCCAGATCATTCTGGATCTCCCACTGAGGCCAGGAGGTTCGGGGGTTCCTTGGGAGACACCCGGGAGCCCTCCGAAGATGACATGTCACAAACTGGAAAAAAGAGCATTGACAGTTTAGAGGGGGAAAAGTAGGTTTAGTAAAGCAGAACAAACTGTTATAGAACATAAAAAAGAGAGAGCCTTAACTATCTAGTCTAACTTCTGAAGGAGGAACAATAAGAACAGGAAGCTCTTCAGGAGCAGGAGGTCTCCAGAAGAGCCAATCAGGAGACAGCAAGGACACAGTTTGAAATAATGGGAAGTCCCTAATCTAACTATGATAACAACCAGTCCTTCAGCTGTACCTCTGTAGGGTGAACTTCAGATCTTTCTCATAAGGCTGTACTGTATAACTTGCATATTCCAACATATTTAAGAGTAGTACAGTAGCAAACCTTAAAAAAGGGGGGGGGGGGGGGGAGTGTGGAATTTGTAAAGCTGGAGTGTGGTGTTGATCAAGGTAAAAAGCCATGTTTCCTTCTTCATCATGGCTTATTTAAATGGAAGTGAAAAGTTGACTTGTTTTCTTCAGTGTGGGCAATATGTTGTTTAAAAATGTCTTGGGGATTTTATTTTATACATGCTAGAAACCTGGAGTAGACCATCCTCCTCAGCTCCACCTTTCACCTGCAGCCCAAAGTACTGCCCCTCCCCCGTGCTGTTCCTACAGGATGGGGACTCCCAAAAACAGCATGGAGGGGGGAAGTCAGGTCTCAAGCAGGAGGGGCAATGCATGCAAATCTCTCTCCCCTCCCCCTAATTAATGGCAATCCTCTGTAGGATCCAACTCATAGAAGTGTTTTTCCCCTGTATAGTCTTCTATAAAGTTGTCTCTTTTTGTGTCCCCAAGTATGCAGATCAGGCTGGCCAGTTGAATATTTGTGCCACTTTCCGTAAAGTATATGTGTGGAGTGTATACACTTCCAAAGGGGAGAATGTATTTCGCTTATTTGCATTACAAGACCTCAGTATCACCTGTCTTGTTGTGGTGTAGCCATCGTGCAGAATCAACATTGTTTGCCTTTGTGATACCCACAATGTTTCCATATTCTTATCTCTTAAGGGCTTCAGCATTACATGGTGATATACATATGTAAATATGCCATTACAGGTTAAGCAGCATATATTTTTTTCCAGTTAAATCATTTCACGGATCCACTGTTAAGTAACTAGCTTGCATCTGTGAACCAGATCTTTGGAACATTAGATGCTTTTAGTAGTAGAAGGTTAAAAATATAAGGAGTTATTGTGTAGTGTTCAGTATGTGTTCTCCGATTATGATTTGACCTAATTTGTGTCTTTACAGTGGGGCTCCAGTGTATACATTTGTTATAAGAAGTCTGTTCCAGCTTCTAACTCAATTGCATATAAAGCTGGTAAGGGATTTATTTTCATAAACTGAAGCTATATTAGCAGGTGTTTCATCTTATTTGAAGTTATTTTATAATGTATTAAATCTGTCTCAAGTAAATGAATTGGAATTATTTCATATCAAAGACCTCCTAACATTCCACCCTGGATCCATCCCCACTTTTATTAAACAAAAACTTAACTATATGTGTAACTCAAAATGAGCTTTGCAGCATTAGACATCCAAGCCTCATTATAGCATGACAGAAGCGTATTGGCATGTTCACTGTATTATGAAGGAGAAGCCAAGAAAGTCAGTCTGGATTTATTGTCCCAAAGATGCTAATGATACCAGTATGAGGTGGGGGCTGCTGCTCTCCCCTGTGCCTACCGAGACCACCTGGCAAGTTGGTGTATGTGGAAGTGGATAGCTGTTGAGACATGGGGGACAAACTATGGAGTTCTGCCTGACCCACAGGATGTGATTGGAAGTGACAATACAGATGAAAGGTCACTTAAGTTGATCTGATGGGTTGATCAGAAAGCACAACAGTATGCAGAGGTGAGTTCCTTACCTTGGTGAATATAGGGAGGGAAGTCAACAGTTCAGAAACTGTTGAAGGTAGCCTTGGAGAAAGGGAAAGAAGTTGTGGCTCAGTGGGTATCTGCTTTGGATGCAGAAGGTCCTAGGTTCAGTCCTTGGCTTCTCTATGAAATGGAACTTGCTGTAGGTGATGTAAAAGACCTGGACCTGAGACTCTGGAGAGCAGCCACCAGTCAGAGTACACAGTACTGACATTGATAAGCCAGTGGTCCGACTTGGTAAAAGGCTTCATGTATTAATATGAGAAAGCCTTGGAAATCTATATACTATCTGATTGCTGTAAGCATACTGAGTGTGTGAAGTAGCTGGGCAAGTGTGGTGTATGTGTGTTAATGTTTTATTTTGCCGAAGAAAGAGTTGATAGAATACCTCAAAGCGTTCTCAGAATTGCCACCTGTTCCAAGTGCATGGCCAGCTGGACAGGGAGAAGTTGTGGCTCTGAATGCGTGGATGAGTAAGTAGTGCTGGGAGGAAAGGTATAGATTTCTTAGGCATAGGGAAACATTATAGGACAACCAAATCTCTCCAAAAGAGATTGACTCTATGTGAACCAAAGTGGAAGCAGACCGTTGGTGCTTGATATCTAAATGGCTGCAAAGCAGCTTTTAAACCAACCCCCGGGGCAAAGCCGATGGAGCTGGGGAGCCTCCTATTTGGGATGACTTATCCCTAAGGTATGATGGGGCAAGTGTTTAAGGTAATGTTTGTGGGAACTGGCTAGAACTTGAAAATAAGACCAGGGTGGTAAATGATGGCCATGTGAGGAAGGTCAATGGATTACAAGTGACAAGGATTCTTGGAGGAGGAAACAAGCTAATGGTGTCTATCTGCCAAATGCTAGAAGACTCTGAGTCAGGATGGGAGAACTGGAGTACTCAGCATTAAATGGCAACATAGATTTTGTGGGCATTTTAAAAACCTAGTGGAATGGGGTAATTCAGTAGGATATCCCTGAATACAGGCTCTATAGATGGGACAGGGAAGGATGAGTTGGAGGATAGAGTTGCTTTTTGTATCGGAGTCAAATAAGGGAATCACTATAGTTGTATCTTGGGCCTTTGGAAGTATAGTATTACCTGCCTGACCAAAACTATGAGGGTGATCTTGAGATGGAGAAGGAAATATGGGAGGTAACTAAAGCAGAAAGCACTGTAGTAATGGGTGGCTTTAACTACCCTTAAGTTGATTGGATAAATTATATGCTCAACCTATTCCACAGAGATAAGGACTTTAGATATCATTAAAAAGGGCATTAGAAAAAGCTGATCATGGATCCTACTAGAGGAGCAGTGATCTGGTCTTGAGCTCTGCTGGGAACCAAGTGTGAGATATAGATAATATCTATCACATTTGATTTCAAAAGAGGGATCTTTATAAAAATGTGGGGACTGGTCAACTGAAAGGAAAATCAAAAGAGTCAGATCCTTTCAGCATGCTTAAAAACTATTTTAAAATCCCATCAATTCAAGCTGGGATAGAATGCATGCATACTTTATCATTAGGGAAGGTACTACCAAAAGGATGCCAACATGGCTAATGACTCAAGTGAAGGAAGCCATAAGAACATGATGGCTTGTTTTAAAAATTGGAAGCTTATCCAACTGAAGTGAACAGAGAGGAGCATAGGTTCTGGCAAAACAAAAGTAAGTTGACAACAAGGTGAGCAACAAAAGTAAGTTGACAACAAGGCGAGCAAAAAGAGAATTTGAGGAACACATTGATTGTTTTAATAAGCATTCCGTCAAAAAAATTGGGGACAGGGAACTGAACAGGAAGGCTGTTGGATGAAAAAAGCATGAAATAATTTCTTAAGGAAAGTGAGGAGATGGTAGAGAAACCGAGAGTTCTTCGACTCTGTTTTCACCAAGGAAAATGTGGGGTGATGGATACCCACACCAGAGCCACTGTTTCAGAAAGGGTGTACACAGAATTGAGTCAAATAGACGTTACAAGAGATGAAGTTTTCAATAAGACACTATAAAACTACTAAGCTTCTGACTCTGTATGGCATACCCCCTAGGATTCTTTAAAAACTCAAATATAAAACTGTTGATCTTCTAGCCAGTGTATGGAACTTGTTGCTAAAAATCCTCCTTCTCTACTGGAGGACTGGAAAATAGCAAATGTTAACAGTTTTTGTTTGTTAAAAAAAGAAGGGCTCCAAAGGAGATCCAGGAAATTACAGACTACTTAATATAAAGTCTGTTCTGAGTAAATTAGTAGAAACTATTGTTAATGATAGCAGGCTTTGTTCTTCAGTGTATTTAATAATTCTCAGGGGAAATCAGCATAGTTTCTGCAAAGCAAAGTTCTGCCTTATCAGCCTTTTGGAGTTCCTTGAGAGGGTTAACAAGCATGTGAATAGGAATGGTCTGGTAGCCATTACACATGGACTTCAGAAAGGCTTTTGGCACACTACTTCACCAAAGCTTAGTCATGGGTTAAGAGGATGAGCTCTCTTATGGATTAAAAATTGGTTAAATGACAGGAAGCAGAGAAGAGGACTAAATCGACAATTCTCACAATGGAATGAAGTGAGTGGTGGGGGTCACTTTATTGCGACCAGTGCTATTTAGTGTGTCCATAAACAGTCTGGAATTGGGAGTGAGAAGTGCAGTGGCAACATTTGTGGATGATACAAATTAGGATGGTGAAAGCCAAAGTGGATTATGAAGAGCTCCAACAAGATCTTGTTAAATGGATGAGTTGGCAGCAACATGGCAAATGAAGTTCAATGTACGTAGGTGTGCCAAAACTGCCATAGCGTCTTATTGGAAAGATGCACAACCACCAAGCATTGAGGTTTGGTTTAGGAAATTATGGTGTCATTATCTTATGGATTCTGTCACTGTGCAAATAAACTCGAATGTTCAGTTGTCATTACACTCATCATTTACTGGAAAGTGGTACCCAGTTCTAAATTATCTATCTCAACAACAGTTTATCATATCCGAATGGTCTCAATTTCATAAATGGGTTAGATCAGTAATTTTTCGCATTATTGATTAATGTAAGTGATTCACTGTATAGCAACACTCAAAATTTATTTTGTTATGTCATTCAACAGGTTGTTATATATGCTATAGATTCTGTACAGAGTAGAAACTATTGTACATGTTTTACAACTTTGTATTAGTTGCATCTTTTTTGGATGTTCATGGTTCTATGCTTTCTAATCTGGTAATGGATTGTGTATTAATCTCTAAAAACTTTAATAAAATGTTTATAATTAAAAAAAAATGTACGTAGGTACAAAAAAATCCTAACTTTAAATGTATGTTAATGGAGTCTGAACTGGCAGTGACTGAGAGGGAAAGAGATTTTGGAATTGTAATGGATACCTTGATGAAAATGTTGACTCAGTTTGTGGAGTAGTAAAAAGGCAAACTCCATGCTGAGGTTGTTAGGAAACTGATGGAAAATAAATTTGCCAGTAACGTATAGATCTTTGGTTCAAAATACTGTGTACAGTTCTGGTTGTTGTATCTCAAAGTTACTGCAGAGCTGGACACAGTGCAGAAGGGGGCAATCAAAGTGATTAAAGGTTGGAAAACCCAGACTAAAAAGTCTGGGACTCTTCAGTTCAGAAAAACGACCACCAATGGTGGGGACATGATAGATGTTTATAAAATGCATGTAGTGGAAAATGTGGAGAGGGAGCATCCCCCCCCCCCATGTCCCATGAATACTAGAATTCAGGGGCAGCCGTTAAATCTGGTTAACAACAGATATATGATGGACAAAAGGAAATGCTACTTTACTCAATGAATAATTAAATTGTGAGATGCATTGGCTGTGGATGAAGTGATGGCCACTAGCATAGGTGGCTTTAAAGGGGGATTATACAGAATAATGAAAGACAGGTCCATCAATGGCTATTAGCCATGATGACTGAAGGGAACCTCCCCATCCAAATGCCAGTGCTAGGAGGCAATATTACGAGATGGCTTTGGCCTCTGTGCCCTGTTTGTTGGCTCTCCAAGGCACTTGATTGGTCCCTGTGTGGAATAGGATGCTAGACTAGGTTGATCAGTGTTCCGATGCAGCAGGGCACCTCTTATCTCATTGCCTGCAAAAGTTCACTTTCTTCTTTGGAATTATATTTGCACAATATAGCTTTAGAAGTCATAGACAGATATTACCTGAAACTTTATGCAGACCCCTTATGGCTTAAAGTCAAATTTTCATTTAGAAGTCTACAATGTGAAGCCTTTGGAGCAACTGTAGAAGCAAATTTTAATTTTTCTTTTGTGAAAGTGTTTCAGATCTTGTTAACCTAGGATGGATTAATGAGATTTACCTTCTGGTACTACACAGTTCTCTGTGCAGGATTGTGTGTTTGTATTTTTGTATTTATTTATTGCAAATTCTGTTTTGTAAAGGATGGATTTTTTTTCTTTTAAAAGGCTTAATATTCAGATATCCAGAAGATGATTATGAATCATTCCCTTTGTCAGAATCTGTACCTCTTTTCTGTCTTCCAATGGGAGCTACTATTGAATGTTGGGACCCTCAAACCAAATATCCACTACCTGTATTCTCAACGTTTGTTCTTACTGCTTCATCTGCTGAGAAGGTACATTTTAGCTACGTAGCATTTTATTTTAGCATGTTGGATCTTATATAACTATAAAATATAACTACAGAAGTACTATTTTGCAGTTATATTGATCTGTTGGGTTTTAGCCCTGTGAATTATGTTGTTGTAACACAAATATTGAAATATTTTTGTCCTAGGATATAAATCCTAGAAGGTCTACTCAAGATATGTCCTGAAAACATATACACTGAAATATGTCCGTTGCAATCAGTTCAGTTGTTCGTGCCAGTTCACTCAATAGCTTGGAACTCAATAGCTTGGACCCCTGTGGCTCTTTCATATGCTATATGTGGCTGTTCTGAACACCATTCCCCAAGGGGGGCATCAGCCCCATTTTCCCACCTTGAAATCTCTGCCACAGGGATTAGGGAGGTAGAAATTCAGCAGTTTGAGACCTGAGTGTCGCATGACAAAGTGAGCTCCTGTTTCTGGCCCTAGCTCCTGCCAACCTAGCAGTTCAAAAGCAAGAAATTGCAAGTAGATAAATAGGTACCACTTTGTGGGAAGGTAACAGGGTTCCGTGCGCCTCAGCGTCTAGTCATGCTGGCCACGTGACCATGGAAATGTCTTTGGACAGTGCTGGCCCTTCGGCTTGGAAACAGAGATGAGCACCACGTCCCTAGAGTCGGATTTGACTGGCTTTCGAGCAAGGGAAACCTTTACCTTAGAAATTCACAGGTGGAGTTTTTCCAAAAACAATTAGTAATAATACATTCAAAAAAGTCCTTGAACTGTAAGGATGTAGTAGTGTCTCTGCCAGCTGACTCAACGGACCCACGGTTATAAATCCGTTCCAATAATTTTGCTGGATTCAACATTTCAAATGTACACGTAGACATCCATAAAGTATATTCAGATACAGTAATCCTCAGTGATTCCCAATGGAGAATCAATCATTTCTTGGAACCTCCCTTCAAAATTCTGAAGCATTTCACCACTATGCCATTTTCATTAGAGGGCACATGCATTTTTTTCTTGTTTACATATATTGCTGTGTACATAACATAAGAACATAAGAGAAGCCAATGTTGGATCAGGCCAATGACCCATCTAGTCCAACACTCTGTCAGACAGTGGCCAAAAATACCAGGTGCCATCAGGAGGTCCAACAGTGGGGCTAGGACACTAGAAGCCCTCCCACTGTTGCCCCCCCCCCAAGCACCAAGAATACACAGCATCACTTGCCCCAGCCTGAGAGTTCCTATCTATACCTTTCATCTTGTATCCCACAGGGATTAGGGGACAGATAAGCTGTGAGCCTCTGTGAGCTGTGAGCCTTGTGCCAGGGATGGAAATAAAGGGTCCTTCTGTAGCAATCCCACCCCCACCCTTTTTTGCAGCCTTCAGGAAAAAAATAGAACTAGAAGAGAGCTAAGGAAAACTCATGAGTCTTTCTCTTGTCCCCATTCTCCTCCTCCTTCCCCACCCTGCTTGATGTAAGTACTTTTGTGCCTCTACCCTGTTCACATCTTTCTCCCCCATTATTCTAGGTGTATGGTGCTGCTATCCAGTTTTATGAGCCGTATTCACGAGAGCTGCTAACAGAGAAGCAGCACATGCAATTGGGCCTCTTGACTGCTGTAGAGAGAAAGGTGGTTACCTCCAAGTCCATAAATTCCAACAAGTGCATCTGCCTACTCTCACAGTGGCCTTTCTTCGAGGCCTTCAGGAAATTCCTTATGTTCATCTACAAGCTGTCTGTGTCTGGACCTCATCCTCTTCCCATTGAAAAGTAAGTGAGAGTTTTTCCCAAGCAGCTCCTTAGTTTTTGTAGTTCTGGCTCCAAAAGTGAGCGATTATGGTAATGTATTCTTTTTTGCTATTTTTGATCACCATGTGTGGTACGTGCCATGAATGGTTGTTGGAAAAAGTATCTGCCTTTTATTCTGCTTGTGAGCCGATGGATTTATGGCACCTGAGCGATTCATTTTGCTTCAGCTTTTGTGCACTTATTTATTGACGCTCACACAATAAAAGCAAGCTGTTTAACAAATCTCCATATGGGAAAGCATGGGCCGGGGTCCCAAAGCAAAAGCAGCGGAATTTGTGAGAGGGTTCATGCTGTACTCTTCTCTGTCCCCCTGTACTATGAAAGGAGCAGATCCTGTTGTTTTCTGGCTTTGTGCATTTTTGCTGCATTTCTGCTGAAGGACAGATGGGAGGATGCTGCTGGAGTAACCAGTCGACCTAGATGAGGTTGCCATCACCATAGCAGTAGCGATGCCACTGCTTCATTCTCTGGACTGAAAACACTGTCCTCCTAGCTGCCTTCTTCCTTTTGCTTTCTGCCCTCAAGTGTGTGTGAATTAGTTGAAAACGGGAGTAGGGAATACAGGAGAACCACCGGCTTTAGCACCTGCGACATCATCGCTTCCCTTTTTATTAGTTGAAAACGGGAGTAGGGAATACAGAACCACCCGCTTCAGCACCTGCGACATCATCGCTTCCCTTTTCGTGCCAATATGTATCCAGCTTCCTTTCCTCTTACAGTCCAAAATCTGGCTCCTTTAAGACACCGAGGAAATTAATAGAGAGGCATGGCATTTCAAAGGAATGTAAGGTGCACATACTAGATTTAAACATTAAGTGATATATGGGACAGGAGTTAGTATTCACTTATGTGGCTCCTATAGGACTAAAGCTTTAGCGGTATATATGCTTGAGTGGATTTCATCATTGTCCCTCCTCCCTCATCGTTTGTAGCCTGCCTTTCTCACTGAGACTCAAGATGGACTACAAAGTATGTGAATCAATTCAATCAGACAGCAAAGAACTTCAGTAAACAATACAGTAGCAATAGAAATTCAGAACTGGGAAACAATGCAAACAAAATTGTCTAAGTCATGACATGCCATAATGAAGAAGGGGGCTTACAAAGGTAGAGGACATTGCAATAAACAAGAGAGATGATACAATAGACTACAGTACCATCACAGGAAGCTGCCTTCTGCTGAATCAGACTATCAGTCCATCTATCAGTATTGTTTACGCAGAACCTGGGGTGTCAGTTAGAGGTCTTCCACATCATCTGGTTCTTTTTAAAAACTGGAGATGCTGGGAATTGAACCTAGGAACCATCTGCATACCAAGCAGGTGCTCTTATCACTGAACCACAGCCCCTCATCATATCCTTTATAGTAGCGACTTCCTTTGCAATTGCATTATATTCCGTTATAATCCTTTTGTTAAAGTGCCCTACTGAACATTTCTCTTTTGCATATTCTGTGAAATGATACACTCAGGGGGCCCTTCATGGCCCCATGTTGGGTTTCCTTTCATCTTAAAGTGCTTTCTTCCTCCACAGATGTATATGCCAAAAATTGTAGTGTGTTTGCTTACAGAAAATATTGAAAACTAGATCACTGAGCCATTCAAGAGGAAGAGCCAGGATATGTAGAGATGAATTTTGGATAACACATCCATTTGTTAAAAGTAGTGGGTAGGATCCTGCCAAAATTAAACATTTTAAGTCCTATTTATACTCCAGTAGGAAAGGAAAACCTGCCTTACACTGCAATCCTAAGAACACTTTCCTGGGAGTAAGTTCTTTTGCATATACTGGTTTAGGATTACACTTTTAGTGTCTTTCAATTGAACTGAATCATTTTTACTAGATTGTGTTGCCTGTTCCAGTCCCCTGCCACAAAGATGAATCATAGTCAGTTTCTTTCTGTATTTTGATTGCTATTGCAAATTTAAGATGCTTTGAAAGAACATTTTAAAACTCAAATTTAGGTATCTGACTGCACCCCTTTTGAGAGCCCCTGACTGAGTACAGAAGGGAAACATTCATGCCATTAGTTTCTTTCTGCTACAGTTCATCAGGAGCTCAGTGATGCAGAATCTAGCAAACATTGGCTTGGAAGCTATACATAAGAGAGAGAGAACTGGATGTATGAATGGCAGTGCACTGATTCACTTTTATTGATATGCTGTTGATTACCAGAAGTAAGAGCCCTTTAGAATTCCTATACATCTAAAGAGTTTTTCATACATGCGAAGTTATATGTAAACAGAGGTGCTTTAACTTGTTTATGGCATTTAAATAAGCGGAGGTTACCCTTTCCTTGCAACTTCAAGAAGTTAAAAGAGAAATATTAAATTTGAATGCATTAATAGGCTGCCAAATTTGTCAGGCATGATGGTTGGCGTGGTTACTTATGATTTCACTTCCAATAAATATATGCATTCATTCTGGCAGTCTGGAAATTTATAGGCCTTAAACTGACGCCTAGATTTTATTCTGTCTAGGGTTACCAGCTCTGGGTTAAGAAATTCCTGGAGATTTTGGGGGGGGGGGGAGAGCCTGGAGAGGGCAGGGCTTGGGGAGGGGAGGGGCCTTAGTGGGGTATAATGCCATAGAGTCCACCTTCTAAAGCAGCCATTTTCTCCAGAGGAACTGATCTCTGTAGGCACTGTAATTCCAGGGGATCTCCAACTACCACCTGAAGACTTGCAACCCTATGTCTGGCACATGGAATAACTTGTTGAACTATTAAAACACTGAGTCAGAGAGAATATAGGAGGTTCCACTTTAAGCCAGAAAGTTATTTACCAAAGTGAGTTGTATGCTAGCAGAGTGGTTTAGTAAGGTGGGTTTACTCAGGAAGGGCACGAAAACCCAGGAATACATATAGTAACCTCTCAGGAGCCAAAATAGAGATGAGATGTTGCCAGTTTTGGCACTGCCAAATATTTGTGCCCTGGCAGTATTTACAAAACTAAATATTTGTAAAGGATTCGAGATGAAAGACAACCATATGCTGATCTGATTATATCACGTCTAATCTGTTCTTTGGTGTAGTGGCTTAAGTGCGCGGACTCTAATCTGAGAGAACCGGGATTGATTCACCACTCCTCCACTTGCAAGTGCTGGATGACCTTGGGTGAGCCATAGGTCTGGCACAGCTGTTCTTGAAAAGAGCAGTTTCTGTCAGAGCTCTCTCAGCCCCACCTACCTCACAGGGTGTCTGTTTTGGGGAGGGGAAGGGAAAGGAGTTTGTCAGCCACTCCGAGACTCTGAGTGAAGGGTGGAGTATAAATCCAATCTCTTCTTCTCTTCTTCTTCTTTGCCTTTGCTTACATCAGTTTTGGAAATGGGAAGTCAGCTTCATGCATACGTGTAAGGTATTCAGGTTTAAACATGGATGTTGAAAATGGGTTAACAGCTTTAAAATACTCTTGGTAGAATCAGGGGTCTGAAAGACAATAAAAACTTATTTCCCCTTCTGTCATAGACAATAGACGATTACTATCAACATACACATTTAAATGGCTTTTAACATATGCAAATAAACAGTGTTTAGCCAATCCTACTTTTTCACTCCAGTTTATCAAAACATTTGCTGTTGTTTTGACTGCTGTTATGTTGACAATGTATTGTATAAGTAGTGGGAAATTCCTAGAGGCAGGGTGTGGGAAGGTGTGTGCCTGTGTTTATAACGTTATCTATGCAGAGTTCTTACCAAAATCTCGCATTCCCTTGTATGTTAATTTAACAGTATTGTTATCCTGATGATCAAAAGGCTGAAGCACTTTAGGATAGTATTACATAGTATATTTGGGTAGTTTTGTGCTTTTTATAGCACCTTCACCTTTTATGTAACAGTCTAAATCATCTTCACTCTGTAGAAGTTGGCTGGCAATATATTGAGATCATGCTATCATCTGAGTAGGTAGAGTAGAGTAGGTAGAGTAGGTAGAGAAAGAAAATATAAATTGCAGTATTGTAGGGTTGTTTTTTTAATTGTGGCAGCAGGCAGGAAGTGGCAAGATTGCTGACTGGCAGCCATGACATGGTGTTAGAAAAATAACCACAATTATTTCAAAATACAGCTGAAAAATCTATTAAGATCTAAATGCTATAAACCTATGTGACTCTATTTAAATGAGCAAACTATTGCAGAATTTGTTTAGAATAGGTTGCTCAGCGTTTTGACTAGTTGTGATAGCTGGTGCCAGATCTCATATCTCTTCTCTCTGCTCTCTTTTCCTCTTTTCCTCACTAAGTATAACCAGGTAGAACCCTTTTCTTCATGAAGTTCTTTACATGTTTGTTCTTTGTAGTTTTGTTGGTCCCTTTCTTTTTTGTCATCCTTGAAGACTTTGGGTACTTCCAAACTTCCTCTACTGTTGGTCCTGAGAAGCAGTCTAGTCTTACTCACTTGCTTTCCAGGACAAGAACAGTCTTTCTTGCTCAGAAACACAAATTGGTCAGCCTGCTGAGCAATTCTTGGAATATGCACCAAAGGAGGCACCTGATAGCGTATAGATCTTCCTTTTAAAAAATGCCTTAATTAAATTTGGAAGTCAGAAACTGAAGTTGGTACTAAATGCTGCAGCTCTGCGGTTATCGGGAGCTAGATGGAGCATACGTAATACTCCCATTCTACAGTCACTCCACTGGCTACCCATCAGGCTGAATTTAAGGTATTGGCCATCACATACAAAGCCCTTCATGGCAAAACTGAATTATTCAAGAGAACTTTTCTATGCAGGCAATAAAGTTGCACTGTACAAAATGCTTCACAAAGTTATTTAGATAAATTGTTAGGGACTGTGACCTATATTACTGTGTTAGCTGGCTGAAACTAGGATCCTACTATGTAATTTTTGTATCATTTAATGTCTCATGTTAAGAGCTATGCTTTGCTTCAGTTCTCTTTTCAGGTTCCTGATCGGTTCGACAACCCTAAGGCTGTTGTATTGTTTATTGAATACTCCATTAGGGATGGGCACAGACCAGACCACGGACCTAATTTTTCCATTGACTGCGGCCCAGTTCATGGTCTGTGAGCCTGGTCTGTGTACCTGCAGACATGGTTCATGTGGGGGCAGGGCTTCCCTTTAAATGGCTTTTACGAAGCCTCACAGTGCACGAGTGAAGGCTGAGACGTGACTTCACCCACTTCTGGGTGGGTGAACTTGCTTCTCAGCCTTCACTCACATGCCTGGAGGCTTTGCAAAATGTGCAGTGTGCAAGTGAAGGCTGAGTGGCAAGTTCACCCACTTCAGGGTGGTGTGAACTTGTCGCTCGGCCTTCACTTGTGCATTGTGTGGCTTTGAAAATCCATTTAAAATTTAAATGGCACGGTCCAAATGGACCACAGTCCAGTACGTTAATGTGGAGGTTTGTGGTCCAGGGGTCTGTAAATCACACAAACCAGCGGACCTCCACGGACCATCATTTTTCTGGGCCATGCCCATCCCTATACTTCATTTTGTTGATTGTATCAACCCACTCTGTGTAATCCACCTTGAGTCCAAATGAGACAGGTAGATTATAAATGATGTGAATAAAAATAATAAATAAATATGAGACAACTAAAATGTAACCAAGCTTTCATCTTCTAACTGTCCAGATATTAATGTTTGTATATATTGTATGGACAGTTTGTATATATTGACAACTCTGTTCTCACCAAGTGTTTACGCAGGCGCTTAACTTAAAGTACTGAAATTCAGCATCTTAAATATCTGTCAAGTATGTTGACGGTTACAACACTTTCCAACCTAGAATGAACTGAAGTGTAAAACTTTTGTTGTGACCATAACTTCTCTAATGATATCATTGTATGGTGTGTGGCACTTTTTTGGTATGCTGTTTTTAAAAAATTAATGAATGATGAAGCGAGTATTTAAATCTGAAATCGCTAATTATGCAATCTTTTTTTAAAAAATGACTTTTCAGGCACATATCCCACTTCATGCACAACATACCTTTCCCTTCTCCTCAAAGACCAAGAATCCTTGTACAGGTAAGTGAAATGTTCAGTACAACTTAATGAGACTGCCCTTTCCCCTGAGTAATAGTTTTCTTTTTTAGTCATACCTATTGCTACTTTTTTATTCTGTGCCATTACACATTTAAGGCATCTCCATGGAATCTAGTAACAATGCTGGGTCTCTTTTCTGTGTACCTAGCAAATTAGAATCTTCTGAAAAAGGAGTATGCCAGTGCTGTTCATTCAAGAGGTACTTTAATACAGTGACTGAGCTGTGAAGCAGGAATTCTGCAATTTAAATCTAAACTATGAAGGGCACTTAGTAGATGCAAGTTGATAGCCTCTTTCACATTTACCATTCTAACTGGATGTTACCTATCATTGGCCCAGTTCCGAGTAAAGCAATACAGGGACCGAGGTTTCATATAGTGAATTTCATTTCATTAATGAGCCATCTCAGAAATGCTGTGGCCATTTCAAACAGTGCCCCTGTTTTTCCTCTCCCTTTTTTGCTTGTAAGGCATCTCAGTGGTCCCACTGCAACACGGAAGTGCTATTTTGGTCTAACGCTCAACTTAGAACAATTAAAAAAAAAGTCAGAGAAAGATTGTGCAGTGAAAAAGGGTGGGGGGAAAGTGGCACTATAGGAAGCACTGCAGACATTTTAAACAGCAGACGGCAGCAATTCAGAAGCACAAAGAAGAACTGAAAATGGAAGAAAGCAATTTACCTCAAAAATGGCTCAACCCCACTTTGCTAACTGGACACAAGGGGTTTTGTGTGAAAAGGTAAATAAAATACGTTAGCTGCCAGTTGCTAAAATGGTTGTGTCTGAAATAATCCAAACCTGTAAAAATGCTGCTGCTGCTGCTAGTATTACTACTGTTGCTGGCAGTGCTTATGTGGTGTTGAACTCAGCCCCGTAGTTAGATGATTTTTGGAGGGGGGCACTGGATAGAAGAGGGGCAGCAGGGAGAAAAAAGAATGGCCCAAACAGGACACGCTCATTTGGGAACTTAGGTTCACTGCAGTTGGCATCACTTCTTTGGGAGTAAATGGCTTGCTCCACCTCCCTGGTGGGACAGGCTTGTTTCTTTTCCGGAAGCTGGCAGGACCCAGGAGGGGATGCCTGAGCAGTGCAGAGACAGGTGGTGGTAGCGCAGGAAACCAATCCAAGTTGCTGATGGCTGGGGGAGATTGGTCTCTGGTGTGGTTGGTGCTGGACTTGCTGCAGGAGGCATTGCATGATGACAGCACTCCAGTCCAGCGCTACTTTGTCCCGGCCATCTGTGGCCCACAGGAGCCACAGCCAGAGCTGGGCAATGGTGGGCAAAGATTGCAAAAGATTGCTTGGTGGCCAGGGAGGGCAAGAGAGTACAAGGGCAGAATTCTGTGTCAGGCCGGAATGGGCATGCTGCTGAGCTGCCAGAGAACAATGCGAACATTGGGGATCCTCTCCCTCCTCTCCCACCCCAGTCCACCTGAAAGAGCGGAAATGGTACACCACTCCCCCCCCCCCGCCTCGGGGCGGCTCCTGGGAGCAACCGAAAGCCATGTACCTGGAATCAGCACCAGTGCTCCCTCCGCCTCCAGGGGGAGGGGACCGGGGACCAGGAGAGGAAGAAGGAATGGCACATTTATGAGGGGACAGTGCCCCCAGGGCCTCCTGAGAGCTACAGGCATGGTTGAAATGCTGGCTGTTGAATGAAAAATAATTTCAATAACAAACCTGGGGTTTAAGGGTCTAGTGAACAACAGGATCTTGACTATCTTGGATGAAAACTAATGTTGGTTTTTGCCATTTTGCAGCTTTCTGCACACGATGCATTAATACTGTCTCAACCAGTTTCTACACCTTTACCACTCAGGTAATAGTAAATATTATAAATATTTTATGGATGTTGTTGATTGAATATAGTGTTAAGGTTTATATCAGAGACCTGACCAGACTGAACTGAAGCGATTGATCCACCCCAGCTATATTTGCTAGGCTGGACAGCTCTGCCTGCTTATAGAATACAACTGTAACAGTGACAGCACAAGAAGATGCTTGCCCTACAGAAAGGGACAGGATGAGGTTGTGTGTGTGTTGATATCCAGTATGTTTGTGTTGTGTTTTTTACATTGCAGTCCTCAGCCTTTCGCTTTCTCATTCTAGTGGTGCAAACTTCAGCACACTGCTGATGAATCTTGGACCAGAAAATTGTGCTACTCTGCTGCTGTTTGTGTTACTAGAGGGCAAGATCCTACTCCACTCTCTCCGACCCGCTGTGCTGACTGGAGTAGCTGAAGCTGTGGTAGCCGTAAGTGTGCTATATTCTTTTTAGCATTTTAGCTTCTGCTGCCTCTGTGGTGTCTCTGTACTTTTTCAATAGGTGTTCCATTCTGTTTCTGCCCTAAAATATTTTTCCCTTACTTTGGTTGCAAGTTTTGAATGGCAGGAGCGGAAAACCCCTGCGTGTACTCTGAACTACTTGTGTCCTTTGTCCTATTTTCAGTCTGTTCTCTTCTACTTAAAATGTTTATTGTGACAATGATCCATTCATCTCATAGTAAAAGGGATACTTCTGAGACAAATAAGTAAAGAGCTAGGTTATTATAATTCGACTGTGCGACTGAACAACAGAATTATAATTCGTACCCATCTGGGGGTAGATGAGGCACTCTTGGAGAAAGAACTTTGTCCAATGACTATTACCTTGCCTTATTAAGGATGTTCTCTTGAGAGAGGGGTGTTGTTTTTCTTGCAGTTAAGGAATTATTTTCTCCCTTAGGGAGAACAGCAGCAGAGCAAATACAGGCAACTGGTCCTTTTTTAACATCTGCAAAACTGGAATATTGGTAATGCCAATAAAGGTCTGTGAATTGAATTGAAAACTGGAATATTGAAAACCTGAACAATTAAAGTAATGGAAATGGTACATTTAAATCCTCAAGTATATTAGCTGTCAAAAATATCCATAGTGTTGGTTCCTGCCTCTGTGCTCCACCACTTTTTATGAGTTGTTCCAGCACACAGACTCTTCCAGAGATGCAAGATTCTCTTATGCAGATGTGAGAAGGATCATTGTGCTGAGGAAACTCATGGGTACTTATGAAACAAAATGGTAGGCTGCAGCTCAGTCCTTGGTGTGGGTGTGGTAATATCAATAGCAAACTTAAAAATGAGTGCTTTTTAGGTGATAGAGTGTTTAGAAAATAGCATGTGTTAATTATAAACAAAACATTCAAACACCTGCATGATGTCACTTTTACCTAAATTTCTGTATGTTTGGTTCTCCTGAAGGAATTAATCGTTACACTGATTCACGTCTCCCTGTGCAGGGCTGTGCAGTTTCACTTATGTTGGTAATGGAAATGGTCTGAACGTGACTTCCAAAAGTTTAGTTTACCATATCATAGCAGTTACAGGGGAATTATATATTCTGTTTTTTAATTTAAATATTTATGTCCTACCTTTCCTTGGGGCTCAGCATAGCATACAAATCACAATTTAAAACATAAAAATAAAGACCCACTGAACCGTTCTACCTATTGTATAAAGATATAGTCCAGCCAGATTTTAAAAATAGTTTTACAAACAAAATTTATTGTATTGCTTCAGTTTGACTGGAAGCAAATTTGACTAATGATGTAGAACTTTGTTAGTTAAAAAGAAATAACTTTCCACTGCATATCACTACTTTGGTAGCCAAAAGGGGGCTTCTGTCTTAACTCTTGTTATTTCTCCGTGTGTCTGTAATTGGTTAATTTATAAGCTTAGAAGTTAGTCTTCTTTTTGACTTCTAACATTAGCTGTACAGCACACTAAGTGTAAACATTTTCTATTTTAAAAATTATGTTAACAACGTAGTTAAGTTTTCTACTTTTGTTTTAAGGTTTTCTTCACTAGTCTTATATATTTTAGTCATTTCTATTTAGATGGTCCTGTATGTAATGAACGTTGACCTGCAATATTTGACCTGAACGCATAGTTGACCTGAACGCATGAAGAACTCACAGTAAAAAAGTCTTGCTTTTCTTGATACTTCTAGAGCTTCCACCATTTTGCTTTTGAGCAATATACTGGCTAGAGTTTAATGCAGAGTTTTGAGTTGTCTACTGTATAATTCAAAACTCTACAGAACAAAAGATCTGCTGGTGCTCTTGATGTGACGTTCCATGTTTATGAGCATTAATTGATGTTATGCAGTTTCTGTTGTCTTGTTAATACGTTGGTTTCATTTCATTTTTCCTTCAGATGATCTTTCCATTTCAGTGGCAATGTCCCTACATCCCTCTCTGTCCTTTGTCTCTGGCAACGGTGCTCAGTGCTCCCCTCCCATTTATAGTTGGAGTTGACTCACGGTACTTTGATTTGTATGACCCTCCACAAGATGTTGTTTGCATTGACTTAGACACAAACATGGTGTACATGTAAGTCTTTGTTTTAAAATTTTGTTTATATCCTCTCTGTTTTTATGTATGTGCGTGTTAAGGTTTTAATTTAAATTTGTACATCATCATTTTATCCTATCCCTGGCATTTCTAATAGATTGAGCCCATTGGGCTGCTTTCAAACATGGTGAATAATGCACTGTACAATTCACTTTAGCGGTCATTTGCAAGTGGGTTTTCCTGTTTTACACAGGATGATCCAGTTGCAAAGATTGCTAAAGTGCATTGAGTGAGAGCACCCTCATATAAATCCTTCTAATTGTATACTGGGCCATCCCTGTTCCTTGTTCGCGCCTTTCTTTGTAGAACCTCACACTGTTCCCAGAGTTCTAGGAGAAGGAGATCAGATTTATTTATCTATTTTAAATACTTACAAGAACTGGAAGCAGTGATCGGTCAATGGAAAGACTGGATTTTTGCTGAATTCACCTATCTCCAGCAGTTCCTTCCAGCACCATCCCCCTTCAAAAGTTGGTCCAGGGGCTAAGGGACCCATGTGGGTCAGGGGACTACAGTGAGATGAGGAAACAGGGAGGAGGGATGACCTCATTCTGTGTTCACCTCTCCTCAGTGTAGGCCCCTAGCCTGCATGACTGTCCACCCACACAGGTTCCATGACCCCAGGAATCAGCTTTCGAGGAGTTGGAAGAGACTGCTGGGGGAAGGGAAGTGTGGCAAAAACTTGTTCCTCTTACAAATCACTGGATCCAACCCACAAGCTGCCTTTGTCCAAAGTGGGACCTGGAGCACCTTGCAGCAGCATTTAAAGCTAATGAAAAGAGGCAAAAAGCTAGAAAAAACAGTCATCATTGTTCTACCTCCCCATCTTACAACTAGTTTTACAGAGTTTTCTAAAGACCGCAAGGGTAGATGCGTTCCTGACAACTTCAGGAAGGCTGTTCTGCAGCACAGGGGCAGCCACAGAAGAATCCCACAGCCATAGTTGTTCTCACCTGTTAAAGGAGGGGGACAGAGACTGGGATGAATAAAGCTGCCACATGGCTTCATATTGGGGGAGAGTGTCAAGTATGTGGGTCTCTGACTTTGAAAGCCTGTAAAGGCAAGAACCACCTCCTTGAGCTGTGTTTAATTGCTTTTTATGTAAAACAGTAGAGCTTGCATTCATAGAAACAATTCTTGAGTTGTCGCAAATATCTGTGTTGAATCGTTTGACATGACCAAGTGAGAAAGAGGAATTTTTTTACATTAGCTTCTTTTAAATATTTGGCATCAGATTTTTTAAATGCTCTTTTTGACTGGGAAAGTGGTCTGCTGTTAGTTGCACCCAAGAGTCTATCCAAAGTTAGGTCAAGAACGGACTTTGGACGGGTGCTTTTTTCCTTTTGCTTCTGTCAACAGGGGCTAAGGTAATGTTTGTGTACAGGGAGATTCCATGTTTGTTTGAATTTGTATCCCAGGTCTCACAGGAAAACTCTTGCAAGCTCTCTGTGAGACATAGCTCCTTGCTCATGTGCAGGACTTCAGCCTGGAAGCATGAAATTACTTTAATATCAGGGTGAATGATGTACAGCCTTGTATTTTAGAAATATATACCCTGAGGATTGGTGATCTTTAATTTTAGAAAGAATCTCCTCTGAGAGTAGAATCACAAGATTAAGAAGGACTGCAAAATAGGACAAAAACAAGACACTGCAAGATTCTGTTATACAACCTGCAAAACTCTACCAAAGCTGTCATTTTTTAAAAACGTTAATGGTGTTTAATTACGTTTCCACCATGTCAGCACCTATTTCCATCCCTCCTGTGTATTTTTTTTACTTCCTTTCTTGGTGTCAGACCTTCATACAATGATAGGGTAGGGGGAAAAAACAGGAAAATATTGTAATCTTAGAGAGATCAGACTGGCCAACTGGTATATTAGAAAGCACTTCTTAAAAATTTTTATATTGTTTTGGGTGGTGTATATATAAAAAGGTAAAGGTTCCCTTGCTCGAAAGCCAGTCGAGTCCGACTTTAGGGTAGCGGTGCTCATCTCCGTTTCAAAGCCGAAGTAGGCTAGGTTCTATCCATTGCTTGGTCAACTATGTATGTAAATTCAGTATATGGTTATAAATGTATTTTGTTTAACAGGAGTCTTGGGTTTATGCTGTGTTCCATGTTCGTTGTTTTGCTTGACTCCTTTGCTAATTGCTGTTGTCTGTAAATGGAACGGGCATCTTCTAGGGCTAGAACCACAATAAGGCTTCCTTTCCGGTGGTTGCTCAGAGTGCTATGCCTGTTCTGATTTTCACCTAGTACTATCCTGTTTACCTGAAAGGAAAGCTAAGATTTGGTTTTTTAAAAAACAAAACAAAACAGGAGTACTGTCAAGAAAAATAGGGGTCATATAAATTCATATACAAGTTACAGGCATATACTTTTTTTTAAACCCTTTTTGTATATAACCTTGGGAAGGGTCATCTTCCTTTCAGGTAAATATAGGTGATTTTTGTTTGTTTTTAAAGCAAGATATAGCCATTTTGCATTACATAAAGCCCCAGTAGAACTCTGGTGAAGCTTACTATGGAAATATACATAGAGATCTGCTTGATGGGAATCCAGAAAAAAAGTCATACGTGACAGGGTGACAAAGATGGACTGCATCTCACACACGAGCCCTAAGTTACCTACTTGGTACACTGTTATGACCTGACTAACAACGACAGTGCATTTTTGAAAGCCTAGATGCCACAGCTTGCCCCTCTGTCTGCCATAGGATTGATTACCTTCAGAAGGACTGAGTCATGAATAGGATGGCTGTATGCTGATGCATGGTGGTGGCAGAGTTTGAACTTTAAGCCCTCCTTAAATTCTAACTGCAGCACCGTCCCATAGCTGAGGAGATTCTGCATTACATTTTCTGCATCTGTAACTTATTTCTTGCTACCCTGAGGAGAATAGGAGAAGTAGGTGATGATCCCAAGACCATCTCTGGACTTCTTCCTAGGATTATTTCAGCGAGGATGTGATTTATTTATTTCGCTTATAGTCTTCCTTTCTGGCACCCAGAAGATGCCTGATCCGGCATTGGCTTCTCTTATGTTCTTATGTCTGGGGCAAGGGATGCTCTGTATTTCTGGTGCTGGGGGGGGGGTGACAGTGGGAGGGCTTCTAGTGTCCTGGCCCCACTGCTGGATCTCCTGATGGCCCCTGGTATTTTTGGCCACTGTGTGACACAGAGTGTTGGACTGGATGGGCCATTGGCCTGATCCAACATTGGCTTCTCTTATATTCTTATATTCTTAAGATGAAATGACATCTGACAGGACTCTTGCATGTTTTTTCAGTAACTGAATGTGTGTGTGTGTGTGTGTGTATCCATCCTGCCTTATCTCCTTAGACTCAAGGCACTAACAAAACAACAAGTTGCAAACACATTAACAGTGTAACAGTCCATCAATAAGATAAAAATAAGATAAAACCACCACATAGAATAAAAACACTGTCAAATCTTCCAAAGCAGTTTACCCTTTACCAAATGTTCTCTGAAATAAAACTGTCTACACACTGTAGTAGATACATTTCTATGGTGGTTTCTTGATATGTGGAATGTTTTCTTTTAAACTGCTGAAGAGCATATGTTTTTTGTGGAAGGAAATTTCTCAAAATATATTGTATTATTCACATTGCACATATTGGCTCCACTATAAATGTATATTTTGTAAGGTTCTAAGACCTGTGGTATTAAAAATGAAAACATTACTCCTCTTACTGCTATTACAAAAAACAATTTCTCGCTGAGTGGAACTGTTTGTAAAATATCCTGAATGGAACATATATTTCAGAATAATGCATGGCTACACCACCCGTCAAAAGTGGTTATGGACAAGAATTACCTGGAATTTGGTTTTCCCCCCCCATGTGGAATAACTTTGCCTCTTCACAGCAAAAATTTACTGGAAGCAGGTGGCCTAAACCCATTTGTAGTGCCATGGGAAGATTTAGCACTATAGTAACAAGGACTGTGCTTGTCGGCTCCCTGTCTCCCCCCCCCCCCCCACCCG